CAGCCCACAAATCCACATTTAAGTGTATATATTTGACATAAAAATAAAGAAATACTGTATTGCTTTTAAGCACTGGTAGGCTTAGGAGACAGGAGAAACAACAGGGAGCCTTTAATCCAAAAATCAACATTAACGTGTATATATTTTGCAGACCAAGAACACAAAAATATTGTCCATGGACAGTACTTAAGCACTGGTACTAGGCTGCATTTTGAACAGCAGGGACAACAAAAAGCTTTTAATTCAAAAATCAATACTAGATTATTCTACAGAAAAAAAAGACAGCTAAATATTGTACTGACTGCATATACAATAATTAAACATTTTTACTAGGCTGAATTTTGAATAGCATGAGCAACAGTCAGCTTTTAATCCAAAAAGCAATGTTAGAGTGTACTCATTTTTATAGATAAAAACAGAAAAACATGCAGATGGGAATTTATCACAACTGGAGAAGACAAAAACTGGAGCAGCTGTGCATGGCAACCAATCAGCTTCTCTTTTTCAATTTCAAATCCTAACTGAACAAACTAAAGGGAGAAGCTGATTGGTTGTCATGCACAGTTGCTCCAGTTCGTGTCTGCTCCAGTTTCGATAAATTATTTTAAAAAACTTGGCTGCATTTTGAACATTGACCATGCAAAAAAATTACAAATTTTTCAGCTGGGGCTCAGCTGTGGAAACATTACAGGGCAGTAGAGGCAGCACATGTTGGTAGGCCTGTAGTGGTGGAAGAAGCTGGTGTTTAGGTTAGTAAATCACCCCCAATGTGTCTGTTGGATAGAAAACTGTTTTTAAGCCAGTTTTCTATCCATGTACAGACTATGAAGGGAATTTATCAAAACTAAAGCAGACTGAATCTGGAGCAGTTGCCCATAGCAGCAAATCCGCTTCTATCTTTTATTTTCAAAGCTTAACTGAACAAGTTTAGACAAATCGCATGTGCAGGAGAACCCATCTGCCCTGAAACAGCTGATCGGTCCTGAAATGTCACTTCTCTCCGACTGCAATCTCACATTCCACCGCACTCACAAAGTCGGATAGAAGTGACATTTCAGGACCGATCATCTGTTTCAGGGCAGATCGGTTCTCCTGCACATGCGATTTGTGATGCCGATCTGCCCTAGAACAGCGAGGAAAGCGTTGGAATTCTTCTTCACCTTCTTCACTGGTCACACATTCTAACGTAGTCTCAAACTTTGATAGATCACATGCTTACCTGTAATCATTTAATCAGAGCAATAGATTATAATAGGGAACATTACAGTGTAATATTCCCCATTATAATCCACTTGTCTAATTACAAGAAAAAGCATGAAATAGCTGTACACAACTACTATCCCCCTGGCGCTCGGACTTACCCAGCCAGGGAGTTTCGATGTGTGCACTGCAGGGGGCGGGGCTTGTGACACATGCCTCCTGTGACTCACCTCCCCTCCCGCCGCCTGTTAGTATGGACGCGGCCGGGAGGGGAGGTGAGTCACAGGACCCGCCCCCTCACTGTGAAGCCCGTCGGCAGTGCGGGGCCCCGGTGTTCGAACACCGGGACCATGCACTGACATATATTGCAGGACCGGTCCGCACTGAGGCTGTGGGGTTGCCCAGGACCAGACCCCACTGGGCCCCCCCACAGCCTCAGGCCCCGGTGCCCCCAGAGCTGGGGTGCCACTGCTTACCACCCCAGCTCAGCAGGAAGTCTTCAAACCCCAAATTTTGTGTTGAACCCCATATATACTGCATATATCACTGCATATCATACTTGTATGATTATGTATGTGACAAATTAATAAATCTAAATCTAATATACAGTCGTAGCCAAAGATATTGGCACCCCTGCATTTCTGTCAGATAATGCACCACTTTGCGCAGAAAATTGTTGCAATTACAAATGTTTAGGCATTCTCAATTTTATTTCTTTGCTTAACGACTGTTGACATAAGAATATGGAATGAAGCTTGTTAAATTCCTTTTCAAAAGTACCCATTTTGCATATGTATAACGGTTTAAAAGCATGACCATCTTATAGTCATCCCACAGACCATAGCCTATGTGTGTGAAATTTACTAACAAGTATAATTTGCTATGGAATTTATACTTGTTCTTGTTATAGTAAAAAAGTAAAGTTTAAAAAATGAAAAATAAAACATTTAATTGCATAAAATAAATTAAAAGCCCCCCACCATCCCCCATTCACGACATACAGACTTATGCATGCACCTAGGATATTTGTAGGTTAACAGTGATTAGGAAACATATATAGTATATTGCAGTGCATGCTGGAGGAATAATTCTTGGACTATTAATTATGGTTGACTCTAAATTAATGAGCTGTTAAGGTTTATATAGTGTCACCTATAGACAATTTTGAATATCGTAAAATTCCACACAATTCTAAAGGCTTGACATATTTATGGTATCTATTAACTCAACATAGTCTTGTCTTATCGAATTTTAAAAAAAATTGAATTATTTAGTGTTTGTGTGCAACTAGGGGTCCCTGATTTAAATCGCAGCCAGATCACTATCTGCAAGAAGTTTGTTGCGGGTAAGGAGCAGGTTTTCCCTGTGCTTGTGTGGGTTTCCTCCCACACGCATAAGACAGGCTGGCTCCTGTCTAAAACTGGGTCCCTATCTCACATGCATACATACAAAGGCGTATGTATGCATGTGAGGTAGGGATCCTAGATTGTAAGCTCCTTGAGGCAGGGACTGATGTGAATGTGCGCTGTGTAAATTGTTGGTACTGTTAACTACCTGTAACAAATAAATGATTGGCTGCTATGGGCAACTGCTACAGTTTTTTTAATTACCCCTATATATTTACTCTCCCAAGCCAACACATTTTTACAGATTACCTGCTCAGCCAAGTTCTTAAATATCTTAAAAATATTTTTTCAAACTATTAGTATTAGTTGTTAAGATATCTATGAGAATCACTTTTTTATTTTGCATTTAAAAGTGAGCATATTGTGAGCTGTATTTTTCATGTTATGGGCACAGATGCTAAGTAATGTGTAAGTGTAACACTATCAAGTTTTATTTCCTCTCTGCAGATTACCGCACTTTTCTTGACAGAATTCTAATTTAACTTTCTCCTTAGAAGGCTGGCATCATCTACTTTTTGGACTAAAATATTTCACTTAAATAAAACATTATTTAAACATGTTGCTTTACACCGATTAGCACCCTGCTGCTGCCTCTTACCTTGTGACTTACTCCTTGTGACTTACTACAAGACTTACAGTCACAGTGATCACTTGGAGGAGACAAGATTAAGGAAATTATTCTTCCTGCCTGCAGAAGACACCCAACATCATTCTCCCAGATTGCACCTCTTGCCTAAGCATAGTCACTTGCCCGGAGCTTGAGAAATGCATTTTTTATAATAAAAGGTTCAAACAAAAATTCTGCGGTGAAGAAAGCAATTTTCACAGGAGCACAGGAAATTCCTATGCTCCTTGGCTTCATCTAGTGGAATGTCATGTGAATGGCATTCATCCAGCTCTACTGATGTGAATGTGCTGCATACATTGTCAGCACTATATACATTCCTGTGGTAACTAAATAAATAGATAACTAAACAAAATAATAAATATACACTGGGCAGAAGATTTATAAATCATTCCCCTAGTGTTATTAGAGAAAAAAAAATGCTGATTGATTCCGTGATCTGTCCCATTTATAATAACACTAAAATTATGGTGCAAAGTGAAGCTATTTGCGGAAAAATAAGCCTTTTTTAAGTGTATTTTTTAAGTGCAATGCAAACAAGTTTAATTGCCAAATGAGCAAAAATATTTTTTTTGGAAAAAGGCAAAATCCAGGTGTATAGAAAAAATTGCTTTTTTTCAGATATTGTAGGAAACAAACAAGAACACATCATGGCGTGCTGGAGCGTTAATAATATTTATTTAATTTATATTTAACTGTACTTCATAATTTTATTAAAATACCCACAATAAGCTTATTATTATCTTTACTAATGACTGAATATACACTTTGTTTGAATTTCTATTTTTAAACATGACTGCATTAGCCGCGCAATTGCGGTAGCGGCAACTCGGCCGAAATTTTATTACCGATTAACTGTTCCCGCACATGCACAGTGAGCTGATCACACATTCCACCGCTATCAAAGTGAGCCAGATTATGCTGGAATGTGTGACTGCATCACCAGTCACACATTCCAATGTAGTCACAAACTTTGATAAAACACCAGCCTGATTACATGTCTCGAGAGATCACAAATTTCTATACTGTCTGTTTAATTTAATTCAGTCACTGCCTATCTCTAAATGACATGTGATAATAGAGAGTCAATTGTGGTAAAACAAAGCTGCTTAGTGTCTGCAGTTATGTTAAAAAAGCTAAAATATGGTTATTCTTGGTGATAACAATACTATAACATCCCGTGAGACACTATATGCTATATTAACTTTTTAGAGCCATATGCCACAGGAAACCTCAAAGTGATGTGCCAAACCCCAGGTCACTAGCTCAGCTAACATCATAATGATATGATATATTTCAAATCATTTAACTATCTTCTTTGGTGACTGAAACAATAATTCTTGAGAAGTTCTGTTATATATGAAAACAATACAAGAACTGATGCATGAAGGTGCTTCTCTAGAAAAATGTATTATGGCATCCTGGTCATTTTTAAATCCGTTCATTAGCAAAAAGAAAAAGCTGTTGATCATTTATCTCAAGCATAAACCTGCTGAAAAATTGATCAAGCCTTTGCAACTACGGAAATGCCCTGAAGCTGCTATTGATCAGTAACGTGGTGAGTGCTACAGACGGCAGAAAGATGGTGACGTGAGAAACAAAAGAAGTGTTATGCATGGTGAGCCGAAAGAAAAATCATGCCTCTTCAAGTGTGAAACCCATCCACATAAATTGAACACCAAAGAGGGCCAGGCCTATTCTCCACTGAAGCTTTCACACAATAGTTGACAAGACTGCTCATTAAGTTGGACATCTGTAAGAAAACATACCTTGCCAGATTGAAAGCATCATCGATCAGTCCTGCTCGATTACTGACAGAAATGACCTATGAGAAAAATAGAACCATTTAGGATAGTAATGCCAGTAGGGAGTTTTAGATCAAAACAAATCCCTGCAAAACAAATTTATCGAGAACTTACAGTACCTCACAGTTCCTCATTAGCTGGTCGATCAGTAATCTCCAGTTCTTGACATCATAGTTAACCCTAAAGTAGCCAATTTGATCAATATTGCCCAGCACCCAGTTGCTTTCATCCAATGTGGCAATGCGGTGGTATTCTAAAAAGAAAGAGAGCTGTAATTTATTTTAAGTGCTTGAAACTGTTCTGTTTTCTAAACAATTAGCAAAAACATGTTACATTAAAAACAAAAATGAATGATAAACTGTATTTTATGCTTATTAAGATTACTAATTGTCTGAGGTAATTAGTCATTACAGATGAAATTTTCTCAGTCTAAATAACAGTGCATTTGAAATTATTTACACAGCAGCTGTTTCCATAATCAGCACAAACTACAAGTATAACACTGAAGGGCACAGAACTTTAATCTCAGCACATTCATGCCATAAACCTTTATCTAAAAAAAAAAATCTTTACATTTATGTTCATTCCTCAAAGTGCTTGTGTTTTTGCGGTTTGCACAAATATGTGTGTAAATCCACAATCAGTAATAATTTGAACATGTTAATGTAATTTCAAAAGTAATTCCCATATTTTTTAAAATCTTCAGCTCTAATAAAGTAATACTTAGTAATCCTGCCATGAAGCTCTTCACTCAGGCACCTACTGTCATTGGATGTCCATGCCTCCCAAAATGCTCATCTTAGTTGCCACCCTGTCACATGCTACTTTTTCTGGCATTTTCAGCTATTATCAGCATCAGGATGCCAGCCTTGAGTAATGGCATGCAACTGTCACTGAAGCATATGTAAGTAGGCAGACTGCAAAGAGGCAGCAGTAGATCAGCGGCAGTATAATGCCGCAAAGGCTAAAAAAAGACAAAACTATTTTATGAAAGAAAGAACTATGACACTTGTTAGTAATACAAAATGCTTAGTCAAAAAAATGTTACATCTAATTTACAGAAAGTGGTAAGCAGATAAGCAAGTGCAAACCAGTAATAAACGATTTGGAGATTATTATTATTATAATCAAAAGCACTTATTTTTCACCACCATTGCATATTATGTGAAGTTACTTACCTACCATGTGAAAGTAACATGCAATGCCAGCCACCTTTTTTTAAAGGGAGAGAATTTTTAGATGCTATTTCAGGGTGTTGGTGCTGTCCCAGTTACACTATGTCGCCAACAGGGAATCAAACAGCACCAAAGAAACTTTCTAAGGCTGGGCACACACCTTACAACCATCGCAAGACTTTTGTCTTGCGATGGTTGTAAGGTACTTAAAAAAACGTACGATCTGCCTATCTTGCATAGGCAGATTGTACTTGCGATGATCGCAAGCCACAGCCCCTGAGGGGCGGGCTTCCGATGACCGCAATGCCGAAAGGGCAGTGTGCGCTTGCGCACACCGGCCCGTAAGGCTGTTATCGTACGGACATGCCACAAACCCGCCGAACAGAGTACGATGCTCGGCGGGTTTTCGAACATGTCCGTAAGTTACCTTACAGTAGTAGAGGTCGCACGGCTTCCACACACCTTACGATAATCGTACGATCGCGGGATTTCCCGCGATTATCGTACGATTATCGTAAGGTGTGTGGGGACCTTAAGACTTCCACACAGTACAAAGATAAAGTGTTTTTATTGTTTTCTCTCTTTGTCCTCATAATTGCTGTCACTGGGATATGGAATGAAGGAAATGCTTTCCAACATGTAGACATTAACAAAAATCCTGAAATAAGTTCTAAACCTAATCTATCATAAACAAATCTGGAGTTTTATTTTAATGCATTTGCCCCTAGCATCAGTGCACGTTATGAGTAGTTAATTATGAAGCCACAGGGAGAGTATTCTCTTAACAGGCATAAGGAAGTTATGGTACTGGATTATGAAGGCTGAAATAAGCACACCACATTGTAAACTAGGAAGATCATATTTGATTGTAGGCTATAATAGGATTCTAATATTAACATTATCCATGACATTGATGTAGTTTCCTCCTTCACACTTAGACATAACCATGGAATAACCATATTTGTTTCTTATAAGTTTTACTACCTAGTGGGTTATTCACGAATGAGGCGAAGGATCCAGCCATAGCTTCGGCTGATCCTTCAGCTCGCTTCGGCCATCTGAGCCCTTTGGTTCAGTCGAACTGAAGGGCTGCAGTATGGGCAATCCACCCTGTTTTGTTTTTTTTGCCCGACACCTGCTAGAAGACTCTGGCAGGTCCCGGCCAATAGTAAACAGCCAATCTCACCGCTAGCTCCACCCAATTGTTTTTATTTTGCGGGCATCTATCAGATGGTTCCCTATGTGGCAGGCACTTGTCGCGTACGGTCGGGTCGGCATACGTCATTTTTTTTTCTTTTTTTCTTTCACATGAAAAGACCAAATACCACAGAACCATGCTAAGAACTAGATTGCCGTGATTTTTATTTTTTTTATATTCCTATTTTCTTACATTTTTAAAATAATTTTTCCAAATAATTTTCCCATTTAACTTTTTTCTATTCTGCTCGCTACCTCATAGGTACCGCTCGGCGGCATTTGGCTCTTTACTCACTGCCGTTCTGCCCCTATAAGAATAGGGGCGAATGGCAGCGAGTGAGCTTCAGCTCAGCCGATCCAGATGTTGGATCAGCTGAGTCGAACTCCTTTTGAACTTTGGCTCAGCCGAACAGAGCATGTTCGGCTGACCGAACGCAGCCAAAGGCAGCCGATGCACGGCTGATTTTAGCTGATGTACGGCTGAAATCAGCGGTGCAAGACTGAAGTGAGTAGTTGAACAGCGTTCGATTAACTTAACTTCGGCTCAGTTATACACTCAGCTGCCTTCAGCAGCTAAGTGAATAACCCCTAAATTTATTTTCAATACAATATAATGTAACTGTTACTCTGGACACCTGAAACATAATTTTTTGAGGAGTTATAAATGTCACAGCAGAACCATGATCCTTGTACCACAGCCACCATACAAAATATATGTGACCTCTTTTACCATTTCAAGGGAGTCCTGGGAGTATACTAGCTAAATTCTTCCTTTATAGAAGTGGTTCCCAAACACTAGGATGTGGCCTGCTGCTGGGCAGAGGCTTGTTGACTGCCGAGAGTACATAACTAGATTCCTTCAGACCTCCATCCCTAATGTTAAACTTGGTGGGTAAGGAGACTGTCCATAGGCTAACCCAGCCTTCAAAATTCGGGGATACTCAGTTGCAGGAAAAAAAAAACACTGCTGTCTTTGATCGATGTATTGGCATTAAGGGGTCACTGCTCTGCATTGAGCGCCAGGCACATGTTTGTTCATCTGCAGGTTATACAATAAAACAGCACAGGGCCAAATTGCAGTAGCCATAGTGACCAATCAGAATCCATGTCACATTAGGCTGACTTCAGTAACATAAATTTTGGTTGCTAAGGGTTACTGCACTTTTCTCCTTGCACAGTTCATAGTTCATTATGTTTAGTCTGTGGTCCTCCAGCTAGCAGTGGATGGATTTGGGTATGTACAGTGGGAGAGGGGGTGAGGTAATTCTGGGGTGTGCAGTGAGAGGGGTAAGGTAAATTGTGAGTGTGCAGTGAGAGGACAGTGAGACCTTTAAAATATATTACATATATTAATAAATAAGGTTTCACACTTGAGTTTAGTGTTACTTTTTGCCATTATGTCTATTTAAATTACAGTAACTCATATTTTCCGATTACTACAGTTTTAATACATTTAAAAAGATATTTTGCATTTCCATACTTTTATTTTATGAGTATAAACTTTTTTAATGTTGGGGCATGGAAAGTTTTGAAATAATTTATTGAGTTCTGGTCAAACTAAGGCTGAGAGCCAATGCTCTAGAGTTTCCAAGCAATGGCCTGACGTTATTGTAATTTGCAATGTTGCTGCCTCACTAGACTTGGCATTGGTTATGCTTACATGAAATACTGTTGATATTTTCCTTAATCCAGAAGACTGGTCTTACTTTGGCAAGTCATTACTTTATTACTACAGCTAAGAGTAGTGGGCACATAACTGTTTTGATTTTCGTTTTTTTCCACAAGCCAACCAGAATTTAGGGAAATTACTTCCTACCCATACCTTAGTCTAGCACCCTGGCCATTGAAGAGAGAAGATGTTCCCTGGTATACCTGGACATATTTGAAAAATTGATTACTGTATGGGTCCTCATTAGTTGGCTGCCAATACCTTTTAGATATATGTATGTTAATACCATAATTCCAAAGCTTTTTTTTTTTTTAAATCATAGTGAGCAAAAGTAAAAATGGTGACTTATTTTACATTTCCTAGCTATCTTCTGGATTGACAAGCAATTAGTGTCACACAAAGACCCATCTTTATAGTCTGATAGCTGGAAACTAAGCTTTATTGCCTAACTCCAGCCAATTTCATTTTTATGTCTTGAATAAAATGGGGAAACTTTTTTATTTCTGTGTTTGACCTCTTTGGGGAGATTTTTCCTTACTTCTTGTCCCTGCGTTATGGATACATTGAATCCTATGTGAGCACACACAATTAGTAGATTGCACACAGATAACATTACGATAAGAATTTGCTCCTTGTTGGTAAGCAGATTTATGACTATGAAATGTTCAACCTCCAGCAGCAAAATTTTTAGAATCCAGAATTAAGCCCAGTTGAAGAGTTGGATTTTACTACTATAATGTTTTGGGGACTGTTGAGTGTAACTAGCTACGGCTATTGCAGTGTTTCTATAAAAGGTAGACTTTTGGCACTAGAACATTACTGCTGCTTTAAAACCTCTGACAATAATTGCAGCCATATAAATAACACAAGCAATGCCAACAACTACAGTATATGTACTTTGAATATAACTTCTGATGTACTATATGCAAACAGTGTGTAGAATACTGTATACATTTTAAATGTAAATGTAAATGTTACACGTATGCTACACGTGCTTCTGTCAATTAAAAGTTCTAAGCAATATAATGCTGTTCAAGAGAATCAACAGAACAAAAATGATTTATATTCTCATTACTTTTCCACTTCTCTAATATATGGTTGCTGTCTTTGTCATACTCTGTGTGTTTCTGAGCATGACATAAACAGCCTCCCACATAATCTTGCTATGGAAACTATTTTCCATGTAAAGTAGCTGTCAATGAAAGAGAAACT